TATCAAAAAAATAGATATCAAGATAATTGCCTAGTAGTTTTGGCTTTTTATGTCTTTGACATTCTGCCTCTGGTAATTCATTTCCATTATCTATAACATGGGTAGCTGAGATGGTTTCCAACTGTGAAATAAAAGTTTAGCAAAAAAAAGTGTATCCTGTTTCATGCTAAATAAAATCATCTTTGTTTGAAAAAGAACAAAAATGTAATTTTAATTAAATAATTGCAATTTTACTTTTTTTCAGGTATTAAAAATTGACCTTACAGACAAAAGTGTTACTCTTGATGAACCATTTGAAATCAGCTGGTCATGAAGAGTGCTACCAATTCAAGTTCTCAAGGAGAAATTGATACTGGATTTAAGTTTCACGGCACTTACAAGTGTCCCTTCTCATTAACTCTTACATGCTGTAAAATATAATTTTCATAATACTATCCTAAAAATTATTGCACAGTGTACATCAAAAGTAATGCTAAAATTTTTTATATTAATGTAATTTGTATTCAATTATTTTAAATTTTTAATAGGATTTGGATAGTTCTATGTTGAATAGTTTGGATAGTTGATAAGCAGAAGGTAGATCTGTACACAATATTAAATATGTATGTGTAAAACTAAACTATAATTAAAATGTGATTTTTAAATAAAGTGAAACATTTAATTATAAGTGTTATACAATATTTTTTAATATTTCACAGATTTGTTATGTAATAAGTCCTTACAAAATTTAATTATTTTGTACCATGTATATTTAATTAGGAAACAGAAAATAAAATGTGTGTATATATATTAAAATGGGTACATTTTCCCATTATTTTTATAATGAAATTTGTCTTATTCAGTTTAGGTTGCTATACTAAATTGCCATTACCCGGTGGATTAAACAAGAAACATTGTTTTTCACAGTTTGTGAGGCTAGGAAGTCCAAGATCATGCAAAGCTCCTGAAGATTCAGTGTCTGTTGAGTGTATCATCCTTATTTGCCCACGGTGTCTTCATAAGTCCTCCCATCATAGAAAGAGTAGGAAAGACAGTAAATTCTGCTAAGTCTCCTTTCTTTTTTTAAAATATATTTTTATTTGTTCTAATTAATTATACATGACAATAGAATGCATTTTTTTACATCATACATAGAGTATAACTTCTTATTTGTTTGATGTAGAGTTACACAGGTCATGTAATCATATATACACATAAAGTAATAATGTCTGATGCATTCTCCTATTATTCCTACTCCCATGCCCCTTGCCTCCTTTCACGCCCCTCTGTCTAGTCCAAAATACATCTATTCTCCCCCACCCCTTATTTTGAATTAGTGTCCATATATCAGAGAAAATATTTGGCTTTTGTTTCTTTGAGATTCACTTATCTTGCTTATCATAATGTTCTGCAGCTCCATCCATTTACTGGCAAATTCCACAATTTCATTCTTCTATAAGGCTGAGTAATGTTCCACTGTACATATATACTATAGTTTCTTTATCTATTCATCTGTTGAAAGGCATCTAAGTTGGTTCCACAGTTTAGCTATTGTGAATTGTGCTGCTATAAACATTGATGTGGCTGCATCACTATAATATATTGATTTTTTTAATCGTTTGGCTATATTCTGAGGAGTGGGATAACTGGATCAAAGGGTGCATCCAATCCTCGTTTTTTTGAGGAATCTTTATACTGCTTCCCAGAGTGCTTTCCTTAGTGGTTGCGCTAATTTACAGTCCCATTAACAATATATGAGTGTGCCCTTGTACCTTCTTCCCCATATCCTTCCCAACATTCAGGACATCTATCCTTAAGTGAGAACTCAATCTCAAGGCTGATTACCTTCCAAAGTTCCCATCCACAGGTGTCTATCACATTGATGACTTGGGGGTTTCAACAAATAAATTTTGGTGAAAACAACTATCAGCTCCATAGTAGGAATCCATTTGTTGTTTCAAGTTTTGCTTTAAACAGGAGAATAAAAAAAAAAACCCACAACTGTCTATTTTTCTTCAGTTACTTGAATAAATCATTCTAGCTAATTCATTCATTAGGACTCCCTAAATCATGGCCTAGGAAAGGTTTCCTTGGTATTTTTAACATTTAGATTACTTTCAAGTTTACTTAACTTATGAACTGTGACTTGATATAATTGTTTTCTAATTATAAAATTAGATTTTTGCTATCATAGACCATTTAAGATAATATATAACTCAGAATACAAAGACAAGGGAAAACAATGAGATTGATAATAATGATAAAAACAACAATAATAAATTATTTACTTCTAAGAAGTTTTATAGTGTTTCAGGGGAATTGGCAAGAAGATCTCAAGTTATAAAACTTGGTGCTAAGAAGGAATCCCATCACTGCATATGGGATTAAAAAAAAAGAGCAGTTTTTTGCTGATGATCATTTGATATTCAGTGAAACCATAATATTCATAATATTACCTCAAATCCAGAGCAATGGAGTTGGACCTCTGGGAACTGAAACCTCTAAAACTGTTAGCCCAAAAATAAACTTTTCCTTCTATAAAATTGTTCTTCTTGGGTCTTTTGGTCACAGCAAGAAAAAGCTAACCAACACTAATTCAGAATAGGACTAGGAACTAAGTTAAAAATATGTTAAGCTGAAATCTGTCAGGAGTGTGTGTTTTTGCCACATCACTACCTTCCTGAGAATTGTAGCTTAGCATAATATTCTCTAGCTCCATCCATTGACTGGCATTACTGGCTTATTTTTTTTCCATCCATTTTTGGCTTATTTCAATTATTCCTAGAGCCTGGAAGCTGATTCTAACTTCCTAAATTCTCAAGGCTCTCTAGAAGCTCAGCTCTTTGAAGAATGTAACTCAAAAGCTAGTCAACTGGACAGTAAATGACTTGCTTCTGATGAACTCTTCCTTTCAGACCAGCTAACAAGTTAGCTGTCATCTTAAGATACGTCATAGCATCATTCTTTTCTAAAATTTTTTGAAAACTTTTAATTTTGACACCCTTTTTACAACTCTAGAAAAGTTAAAATAGTAGTACAAAGAATTTTCACATATCATTTACTTAGATCAACAGATTGTTCATGTTTTTTATTGGTTCTTTTTAGTTATACTTCACAGTAGAATTCATTATGATATAATTATATGAGCATGCAATATATCTTATTCTAATTAGGACCCCATTCTCGTGGATGTACATGATGATGGGATTTGCTTAGGTATTTTCATATATGTACAAAGGAAAAATATGTTAGATTCATTCTAGTCTTTCATTACATATCCTCTTCCCTTCCCTTTGTTTCTTTTTCTCTAATCCACTGAACTTCTATTCTTCCACTCCTCTCCCATTATTGTGGTTTAGCTTCCACATATTAGAAAAAAAAATTGACTTTAGTTTTTTTGAATTGTCTTATTTCATTTTGAATGATAGTGTCTAGGTCTCTCCATTTTCCAGCAAATGTCACAAAGTCATTCTTTTTTTTTTATGACTGAGTAATATCCCACTGTGTATATATACCACATTTATTTTTCCATTCATCTGTTGAAGGGCACTAAGGTTGGCTCCATAACTTAACTACTGTGAATTATGCTGCTATAAACATTGATGTGGCTGCATCACTATAATATATTGATTTTTTTAATCGTTTGGCTATGTTCTGAGGAGTGGGGTAACTGGATCAAAGGGTGCATCCAATCCTCGTTTTTTTGAGGAATCTTTATACTGCTTCCCAGAGTGCTTTCCTTAGTGGTTGCGCTAATTTACAGTCCCATTAACAATATATGAGTGTGCCCTTTTCCCCAAGTCCTCACCATCACTTATTGTTACTTATATTCTTGATAATTGCCATTCTGAGTGGAGTCACATGAAATAGTGTAGTTTTAATTTTAATCTAATGGCTAGAGATGTTGAACTTTTTAAAACATATTTGTTGATCATTTGTATTTATTCTTCTGAGAAGTGTCTAAGACATTTTCTTGTGGAGTTCTATTGTTGTTTTTTGAGTCTTCTAAATATAGGATCAAACAGACATAGTTTGAACTTTTCTTTTCCTATTTGTATCCTTTCAATTTCTTTCTCCTAATTACTCTTACTAGACTTTGAAGGACTTTTGAATGGAAGTGGTGAAAGAGGGCATTTCTTTCTTGTTCCAGTTTTCTAGAGGGAATGCTTTGAGTTTTTCTCCATTAAGAATCATATTGGCCTTCAGTTTGTTGTATATAGCTTTCACAATGTTGATATGTTCCTTCTTTTCCTAGTTTTTCCAGTTTTCAAAACATGAATGGATTCTATAGTTCATTAAATGACTTTTTAATTATCTTTGCATTTATTGAGATAAACGTGGTTCTTTGAGTATATTTATGCAATTTTCACATTTATTGATTTCTATATGTTGAGCCAATCTTGAATCTCTAGGATGACCCACTTGATCATGAGGTGCACTACATTTTAAATGTTAATCAAGAATATTGGTCTGAAGTCTTCTTTCCTTGATATATCTTTGTCTGGTTTTGGTATTGGGATAATTCTAGCTTCATAGAATATATTTGGAAGAGGGCCCTCCTTTCCTATTTCATGGAATAATTTGAGGAGGATTGGTATTAGTTCTTCTTTAAAGACTTGGTATAACTTGGTTGAGAATCTATCCAGTGCTGGACATTTCTTTCTTGTGGGTTTTTGATCACTTATCTAATTTCATTGCTTTAAATTGAGCTGTCTAAATTTTCTATATCTTCCTGGTTCAATTTGGTTAGATCATATGTCTTCAGGAATTTGTCACTATCTTCCAGATGTTCTAGCTGATTGTAGTACACATTTTCAAAATAGTTTCTGATTATCTTCTGTATTTCAACAGTGTCTGTGGTAATATTTCCATTTCTTTTTTTTTTTTCAATTTTTACTTGTCCTTTGAAGTTAACAATAAAATGTATTTGACATATTATACATGTAGAATGTAACTTCCCATTCTTGTGGTCGTACACCATGTTGACTGATACTGGTCATGTATTCATATATGAACATAGGAAAGTTGTCTGATTCATTCTACGTATTTCCAATTCCCAACCTCCCTCCTTTCTTCATTCCCCTTTGTCTAATCTAATCCAGTGAACTTCTATCCCCCTGAACCCGCAATTGTGTATTAGCATTCACACATTGGAGAATATGTTTGGTCTTTGGTTTTATGGAATTGGCTTATTTTATTTTTGCTTTTTTTTTTCTTTTTAGTTTTGTATATATTTTTTGGTTGTAGATGAACATAATACCTTTATTTTATTTATTTACTTTTCAATGGAGTTCAAAGGATCAAACCCAGTGCCTCACACATACCAAGCAAGGACTCCGTCACTGAGCTACAACTGCAGCCCCTTGCTTCGTTTTTTGATATAGAGTTTCTCTATGCGGCCCCAGTTGGCCTCAAACTTGTGATCTTTCTGTCTTTGCCACCGAGTAGTTGGGATTATAGCTCTAGCCACCATGCCTGGCTCAAGATGCCAGTTTTAATGAAATAAGATATTTGAGTGGAGACTCTTGGGTGAGTTCATTGGTGAATATTTTATGTTATGGTGTATATTAGTGTGTTTAATGTGATGTTGGGGATCCAATCCAGAGCCTTGCCTCATGTGCTAGGCAAGTGTGTTACTACTGACCAACAAAGTCAGTTCTTGCATAGTGTTTTGTTTACTGCACATCA